ATCTCGGCGGGGACATCGACGGCGTCGTCATCAACGGGCGGCGCCATCGGTCTCACGGCAGGCAGCGGCAAGGCGGTCGGCGGCGCCATCACGCTCGCGGGCGGGGCGGCAACGCCGTCTGGTGCCGGTGGTGCTGTGACGCTACAAGCTGGCGCGGGTGCGACGCAAGGAAGTGTTCGTGTGCTCGACGCCTCGAGCAACGCACTGCTCACGATCAGCGCTTCGGTCTTCACGGGCACAAGTGCGTCCATGAGTCTGTCGAGTACGTCAACGATGGCGTTGACAGCGTCCACATCGGTCACGATCACGGGCACGTCGACTGTCGTTGCTGGCGGGCACTTGCACGTCAGTGCCAACGACTTCCTCGTGACATCCAACGGCGCGAATCAAGTGTTTGTCGTCACAGCGGCCTCGGGCGCCGTGAGCATTGCGGGCGACATTACGCTCTCGAGCAACGTGGCGCAGATCATGCACTCGGGCTCGACATCGCTCACGATCACCTCGCCCAGTGTCATTTTCACGGGCGGGTCTGTTGTGCTGGACGGCAGCGCGAGCACACCCGTGTCGTCGACGCCGTGCGCCAAAGGTACCATCCAGTTTGATGCGTCGTACGTCTACATTTGCTCGTCGACCGACACGTGGCGCAAGGCGGCGCTCGCGCCCATCTAACTCTTTTATATTTGCATATCCAAACAACAACAACAATACATGTATTTCATTTCCTTCCTTGTGTACAAAAAGGGACGTTGAGAAAGAGACCAAGACTCTGCGTGGCTGAAGCATACACTTGGAGGGTGTCGAGGACGCCTCCTCAGACAGGCGTACCCAAATGCGATCGGTGTTGAACAGCGTAACGAGATATGCAGAGATTCAATGGTTGTCCTGGACGGCAAACTTAGATCATGGTGAGGAACTGCTCGAGCTGGCGCTTGAGTTCGACCGAGTCGGCGTGGTCAGGGTATACTTGGAGTGCCTTGGTCACCTTGGTGTACGCGTCCTGGAAATCGCCGACCTTGTACGCGAGCAGTGCTACGCCCACCAGTAGGGTTGCATACGCACACACCGACAAGCCAGCACCTCGGTTGTAACTCGGTTCAAACATAAAGTTGGCCAAATTGTCGGCCAGCTGAAAGTTGGCCCGCGCCTGCTCGACGTTGCCTTTGCGCAGCTCGAGCACCTGCACTGGGTCGTCAAACGATAGCAATGTATAGAGACAGACCCCAAGGTTGTTGTACGACTCGGCGTGGTTGGCGTCGACGGACACGGCGATCTTGAACGCTTGGTACGCAAGTCCCAGGTCCCCAATGCCAATCGCGACCTGGCCAATGTTGTACCTAGGACCCCAATTCCATTTTGAAAACACTCTTGGAGCCGATACCAGACGTCGGCCATGTTGTCGTCCGACGCCATCGCGAGGGCGCGCTCAAAGCACGAGAGCGTCATGTCATACTACACCAGCATAGCAATAATGTGTGGCTCGTGTCCAAGCGCGCGCACCTGGGACGCGTAAAAGCAGCAAAGACCAATGTTGCACCACAGCTCCGTGTTGTTGACGTCCATTTGCAGCAGTCGGCGGTAGTAGCGCAGCGCGACCTCGGGCTAGTGCTCGGCTCTGTAGCACCCACAGATGCGCCAAGACGTACGTGGTCGTTGTAAAAGTTGTTGGACGCGAGGCACGCGATCGCCTCGATGTTGGCCGGGTCCACGTCCAGCACCTACCTCGATTGTTTTAGATTAACACCAAGATCGTATAGTACCTTTTTGTACACGGCGACGCTGCTGTCGACGTCGTTGAGCATGTCGTGGATGCGCGCCATGCCCACGAGCACGTGCACGTCGCCGGGAAACTTCTCGCTGACGCAGCGTTCAGACCGAAGCCAGAATACGAAGCGTGTACCTCGCGCGCCGGTAGTACTCGAGCGCCGTGTTGGGCTGGTCGAGCTTGAGGTACACTTTGCAGAGCTCGAGGTACGTGACGACCATTTCCTGGCTCCGGAGACTCGACTCGAACTGCTTCTCCGCGTCGCGCAGCAGCCCGAGTTGATAGTAGCACTTGCCCAAGCGCGCCTTCCACCACCAGTCCTTGTAGTCGGCCTACATCCAGTCGCCTAGATACGAGAGATGGCGAATCGAGCCAACGTACCGCCACGGTCGCTTCGGCCGCGAGCTCCAGCGCTTTCTTTGGGTTGTGGTCGTGGTACAGCAAATAGTCGACGAGCGCCTTGGCGATCGGGGGGCGCGCCGCGTACCGCTTCATGTCGAGGCGGTCGGGGCTGATGAAGGCGCCGCCGTCGCCCTGGCTCTGCATCGACGCGGTGCCGAGGCGCACTTGCCGCCCGAGCGACGTCGGCGGCCGCGACGTGCCTGTGACGCATGTATCAGTCCGAGCGATGCAAAACGTAACAGTGTACCTGGGCGGGCGCCCTGCAAGGCCTGGTCCAGCGACAGGCCCGTGCCCGGGCGTGACCCAGTGCCTGGCCGTGCAAAGCCGCTGAGCGGGCGTCCGCTCGCCGACATGGGCCGGAAGCTCTGGTCGCCAGAGCTGACGTTGGCGCGCGTCATGGGCCGGCTCAGCGACGTGCCCGGTCTACGAGAACGATAGCATTCGACGACCGCAAGGGATCGCGCACCGGGGCATGCTCGCCAGCGCATTGTCGTCGAGGAGCAGGTCCGCGGCGCCGTCCTCCTCCATCTCCGAGTCGTCAATGTACGTTTGCTGCGTCACGACGCGACATTTGAGGAGCCAGACCGCCTACGGTCCATGTCCATCACCTGCGAGGACGAGGTCATGCGCGTACTTGGTCGTACGGGTTCGTCTCGAGGATGTCGCTGCAGAGCTCGATGCTCTCTTGGAAGCGGCGCTGGCGCGCGCGGTTGAGCGCCATGTAGAACGGGTCGACCTGCTGGAGCACGCTCGTGGCCATCGCTCCTTGAATCCGTTCAAGATCTCGAAACGGTGGGTGCGCGAACTTGAAGTGCACTGGAATACTAGTATACCCAATGCGTACCACATGAACGTGAAGTTCGCGAACTTGCAAGGTTTGACTCTGAGTGTCAGTTAAAATAGGGTTGAAAGTTCGCGCACTTGACGCGCACGAGGAGGATGCGACCAGCCAATCAACGACAGGCAGGCACACGGGACACACATGCAAGCGAGCGAGCTCTGGTTCGTGCGCCACGGGCAGACCGACTGGAACGTGGATCAACGTCTGCAGGGACATGAGGACGTCCCGCTCAACGAGGCTGGGCGTCAGCAGGCTGCGGCCGCCGCCACGTACCTCCAGGGACTGCATGCGACGGCTCGGTTCGACGCGATCGTCTCGAGGTAGCCCGCGACGCAAGCCATGGTGCGCTGCCACTGTCGAGTAGTGATCTCTCTCGCGCGCTGGCGACGGCCGAGGCCATTCGCGGGGCGCTTGGCATCACGGCCATTGAAACGGACGCAGGCCTGCGCGAGCACGCGCTCGGGTCGCTTCAAGGCCACGTCGTGAGGGCCATGCCACCGCACCTGCGCCGCGAGTACGACAACCTGCGCACCAACCCAGGTATTCTTGTGATGATAGCACCGAAGTCCAAACTACCGTTTAGACTATAAAAGCCCAGGCGGTGGCGAGTCGTCGCGCCAGATGTACGAGCGCGTCGTCCGTACGCTCGATTCGCTTCCGCAGCGGTACCCTGGTCAGCGAGTGCTCGTGACGACGCATGGTGGGTGGCTCTTCCACGCACACCGCTACCTCCTCCAGCTCAGCATCGACCGCAGCCAGGATGCGATTCCCAACGCGTGCATTTGCATCGTGCGCTTCGAGCCATCGACGCGGGCGTACACCATGAAGCCATCTCTAATCGCTTGCTAACGATGCCTGTTTGTAGATGGAGCATACAAGCATGGGGCGTCACCGATCACTTGAAGCAAGCAGGCTGCAACGGCTAGTCAAGATCGTGTCACCTTAGTTGGTGTACGTTGAAGCATCCACCCATAGTACACATGTGCGTACACCTACTACTAGCCTAGTCGAGATCCATCTCCTCATGGCGTCTCTGGAAGCTCGTGCCACGGCGAATAGCCGCCACGTAATCTCATTTGCGTGCGATTAGCCTTAGTCATGTAGTTAGTCGAAACAGAGCTCCTCGAATCCACCATGCATCGCAGCCGCATGTCCTCAGCATGTACGAGACTTGCACTCGACTACAAGACTATACGAGTCTACTACAGTAGGAAGAGGAATGAACGATGGCGCGCCGTCTCCTAATCCTATGCTGCATGAATCCGGCATCGATACACTGTTTTTACACTGTAAACAAAACAGTGTTTTCCTCCATGCTACAGTACCCACAGTTTTGTTTTTAAATTATACCAAGCGCTACCAGAGCGTCGACCACCACGACGCAATGTCGTGTAGCAGAGACCAGGCGTCGAGCGCGAGGCCCGGCGCGACGCACGGCGCGTGGTGCGGGAAGGCAAATGCCCGGCACCTGGCAAACGCGCCGCGTGCTGCCTGCCAATCGGCGGCCGCCAAATGTAGCCAGCCCGCGTGGTAGAGCGCTTCGGCGTCACCGGAGGCGGCTTGGTAGTACTGCAGCGCTTGGGAGGCATTTGGGGCGCAGAGGTCGGCCCAGCCCGCCTCGTGGCACTGCCCGAGCTGTCGCAGCGCCTCACTGTCGTTGTGCATCAGCGCAGCGTGCTCGTACAAGCGCAGCGCGGTTTCGAGCGGGCGAGGGACCCACGCATCCCCGAGCTGCTTTTCGAGCTGGAAGGCAGCGTTGACCATCGCGTCAACATGCCCGAGCTGCGCGAGGAGGAGGTGTTCGACCAGCGCGCGCGTCTTGTCGCCCGCAACGAACGACTCGATCGCGTGGCGCACCGAGAAGCCTGGCAAGTCCCGGCGCAGTGCCACCTAGAAACTGTAAACATGTGTACCGTGTATCGGAGCCTACCGCGCGAAAGTGACGCAGCGCGCTCTCGCACGAGGGCTGGACGCCAGTGCCTTGGTAGTACAAGACGCCGACGTTGAAGAGCGACTGGCGCGACGGCGCCATGACACTCGCGGCCAGAAAGTGCTCAAACGCCCGGGTTACGTTCCGGGGCACGCCAACGCCATCGAGGTACGCGGCGCCGAGGTACTGGTGCGCCTCAAAGTACTCGAGGTCGATCGCAGCCTCGAAATGCCCCACCGCGCGGGTCGCGTTCCGGGGCACGAGCGCGTCGCCGTTCCAGTAGACCACGCCAAGCCCGTGCTGGGCAAACCCGAGCTCGGCCGCCTGCGTAAACAAGTCGACGGCCGCCGAGCTGTTCTTGGCCACGCCGAGGCCGTGCGCGTGCATGAGCCCCAGGTTCGCGAGCGCATGCGGAATACCGCCGGCCGCGGCGCGCTCAAAGAACGGACGAGCCGCTGCCGCGTCTGCCGGGACGTTGGCGTCACCGAAAAAGTGCATTTCGCCAAGGCGGTGCGCGGCCTCGGCCGAGAGGTACGCATCGCCACTACTCGACATCGTTTAGTTAGTCGATTTCACTCGCCAGACGACGAGTGTACCCGTGGGCGAGCGACTGGTAGTAGTCGAGGGCCTCGAGGCCGTTCTCGGGCACCTCGCCAAAGTACTCGTTGGTCTGGCTTCCTTGCATCCACCGCTGCGAGAGGCGCGTGCTGCCCTCCATGGGCTCTGTATATCAAGTAAGCTCCACGATGCACACGATAGATGCGTACCGGGCTCGACGCCGTCGGCCAAATCGCGCACGCTCTCTTCGGCGCTCGTGTAGTAGAGCGAGACGACGTGGTCGCAAAGCGCCTCATCGTTGTGCTCAGTCGCCCACTGCTGCGTCCAGAGACGCTCGGCGAGTACCATGCGCGCGACATAGTCATCCGGCGCATGCAGGCGGATCGCAGCTTCGGCGGCGTCGACCGCCGGCGAGTCCGTCCCGTTGAACGCCAGTGCCAAGAGCGCGTGCAGTACCTGCGTCGAGGCGAGGATCGCTGCTTGCGCCAGAAAGCCATGGACGCGCTCGAGCGACGTCAATGGATGCGCCTTGACGTTGGGCTCCAGCAAGAGATATTGCGCAATTTGCGCGTACGCGACTGCCGGCTCGACCTCGGTGGTGGCGACCGCGACCCACGATTCGAAGGTGGTCGCGTCGTAGCCGTGCGAGAGAAGGTCGTCGTGGATATCGACGAAAGCGTCCGAGAGAGGTGCCGACGGGTGCGCCTTGATGTACCGGCGCTCGCTCGAAATGAGCTCCATGAGGTCTTGCAGCGACGCGTGGAGCTCGATCGTCTCGTCGGCGTCGGCGGGCGCGGCCTCCAAGAGAGCGCGAAAGTGCTCGTGAAGCGCCGTCTCCATCTCGAGCAGCGTCTCGAGCGAGATGTCGTCGGGCGCGTCAAAGATCTGCGTCGTGCGGTCGACAAAGGCGCGGACAGCGTCGATGCGACCGCCGTCCGTAGACGCCACGGCGCGGCCGGACCACGGATTGCGCGCGTCATCGTAGACCCAAGTGCGAGTTTCGCCTGCCGACGCGGCTTCGGCCGCGACGCGTTGCCACGCAAGAAGAAGGAGCACGGCCACGACTCGGACCATCTCGCTTGGTCGCCACGTGGAAGTGTATTTTCCTGCGCTGGCCGACTTTCGAATTTCGAAGGATATTTGCTAATCTAATAACACACAACGCAAGCCATCAGCACTGCGTTCTCAAGCACGTGCCTCGAATTGTACACAGGATAGCAAATCAATTGCGTCGAACCCTCTGCTGTGTACCCACACGCGCAAGAAGCCGCCCAAATAAGACAATCATACTATACAAACTTGTGAGAGGCCGAGAGTGCAGCTGGGTGAAAATAGCCATCCGGATAGTAGCTCATTTGCGACATGAACAATGACGCGCATGCCATTGGCTAAAGACTAATTGCTAGACGAGCTACAATTCTACGCCGACGTCGCTCCATCAATGCAGCCTTGACGACGGAAGCGGATGGCAGCAGCGATGATTGCACGACCAACGAGCCACCCTTGGGCGCCGGCCGTCGCGGGTGCTGCGCGACCACCAGTAGCATGTGAGCGGCGTCTACCACGAGGTTGTTATAGTATGCAGGATGGCGGAACCAACCACAGGATCAATGAGCCAGAAACACCATGTACTCGCATTGGTACGCGACCCACTCGGGGTGGTCGCCGTGGCGCCGGACGCCGGTACCAACATACGCGTGGTCGACCACATTGCGCACGTCCAAATACGGCGTTTCCATAAGGAGACTCAGCGGCACGTAATAGACGGGCGCCCGGCGGTACCCACTGTCGTGGACCCAGTAGCTGGGCCCGATGGCGTCCGCCCACGCGCTCTCGGGGTGGATGGCCTGTCGACGGACGCCAACGACCCGCAGTGCAGCTTCCAACAGCGTGAGCGTCGGCGCTAGCAGCACGGACGTGCGCAGGAGCGCCATCACAGCGCCCCACAGCAGCGCCAAGAAGAGATATTCGTGCACCATTGCGAAGCCAGGCAGCGCCAGCCGCAGCTTGCAGAGCTCGGCCATCAGAAACGAGAGCAGCGAGAGCGGGAGAACGCCCAGAAGGAGCGTCGTCACAAGGTACCCGCGCGTGTGGATCGTGACGCCGGGCAGCAGGTCCATGTAGACAAGCGCAAAGAAGACCCACGCAAAGGACACGAGGCTCACGAGCGCATTGGCTCCATCCAGGTGCCCAAGGCTGTCGACGCTGCAGCTGTACGTGGCGTCGGTCGCCATCTCGTCGATCGAGGCGGCCCACGCGCAGTGTAGCTTGGCGGCGTCAATGTGCCACGCGAGAAAGCTCACGAAACCCACAAACTTCATCGACGTCCGGTGGTGCATCCAGACAATGCTGCTAATGCTTGCGTTCGCGACGCTGTAGAGCAGCTGCGGCTCGCGCTTGGCGCTGCGCCAGAGCCAGCACAGCAGCTCTCGTAGATAGAAGCAGATGCAGACGCAGTAGTACCCATAACCAGCGAGCGAGAGCAGCGCGATGAAGTTGATGATCATGGCCTCGTCCCCGTTCGAATACGTGACGACGATCTCCGCCTGCGTGCCCTGCGTGAGCATGTCCATGACAAACGACGGGTAGTCCGACTGCGGCGCGCGACCGCCGACAAAGCACGCGAGAATCGCCACCGGACTCGCCGTATTGTTGGCTATCACGGTGCGTCGGACGCCGTCCGCCGAGAGGTACGTCACCTTGACGCTCGAAGTGCCCGTCCCAAGGCCAAAGCACTTCATGTCAACATACACGTCAACGAGGCCGTGCGCGACTTTGTCGATGGCAGCGACACACACGCCGCTGCGCATGTACGTGAGTGTCGTGCCGCCGCTCGCTGTTTCGTTCATGCAGACGCCAAAGCAGCCGTCGCCGACGAGGCAGAGCTCTTCGAGCGCATCGGACTTGACGATCGGTGCGTTCATGACGGTCGCCACCAGCTGCTTGAAGAGACCGTTCCAGGCCGAGAGGTTGCCAGGCGACACGTACTCGACGTCGGCGAGCGCCGCTTGCTTCCTGGGTATGTACACAAACACGTTGGGCGCGGACGCTAGCGTAAAGGCGGCGTTGTCCAGGTACTCGGATTGGTGCTCTAGCAGTGCGTTTCCCAGAAACGCTGCGGCACTCGTGTCGACGCACGTCGCGTCGCCTGGCTGCGCCAAGCACGCAGCGACCGCAGTCGCCACGGGACTCAGTACGTTGACTTGGTTGTTGGGACTCGGCGGTCGGCCGTAAATGCGGTACGTCGCAAGTCCCGACCGCTCGCCCGAGAGCGATATGTAGCCGTCCATAAAGGTCACAGGTGTAAACAGCAATGGGACGCCGGCCACGTGCGTTCCATCGAGGTCGAAATCGGCCGCAAGCTCGGTCGCCACGTCCACGAGGCTGCCACCTTGGGCTACGATCGTCTGTCGTCGAATGAGGCACGTCGAGAGGGATGGATACGTGGCGCTGAGATCCGCATTCGCAGCCACACCTTGCAGACAGAGCACGGCTTCGGTGACGCCCGCGAGGCGGCAGTTGTGAACCACCGGGGCCACGTACGGCGTCGGGGGCGACGTAGCTGCGACCGGCGCAGCGAGTGTGCTGCGAAGAAACGGGCCTTTGTCGATGGGCGACGCTGCCCAGACGAATTGCGACCGTGGCAACACGAGAAAGTCCAGGACGACGTTGATGTACCTGTCGGCGGCCACGGGCGACGGGAGAGGAATGCCTGCATTGGTGTAGAGCTGAGTGAGGAAGCGGCCGTTCAGCTGTGTGTTCCACTCGAGCAAAACAGTGCGCGTCGTTGCGAACGAGACGAAGCCGTAGGCCGTGATGGCCCACGTCTTGAAGGGCGAGACGATGTTCCAGAGGCAGCTCAGCGCAAAGCAGAGCGCGAGGAGCCGCGTTCGCCGCACGATGGGCACGTGCACGAGGTGCGGCGCCACGTGAGTCGCTTCCCGCTCTTCCAAGTTGCTCACCCGCGGCGCGACCCGGATGGTCCGGCTGCCGTGGACCATCGCGACGATTATATTTATAGGTCGAGCGGACCAGATCTGATATCTCTTGCTAGCTATTCGTGGACGTCCGATCCAAATCCACTGCGGACGCCAGCACTTTATCGAGACGTTGTGCAAGCGACACGCAGGGGTTGTGTCTTCTAGCAGCACGGTACTAGGCCCACGCAGTGAGGCTGGCCAAGCCCAGACAAAATTTCGGTGTTGAGCCACCATTCTGGGCCAAGCCGTTGTCTTAAAACACGCCACATGCATGGCGGTTCACGCGTGCGACATGACGAGTTGTGTTGTTGGTCTATCGCATCTGTCGGCAAAAAGAGAGAGCACAGACCGAGTGTGGGACGCGACTTGGAGCTAGTATCAATCGGCGTGGTATGTAATTCAATGTAAAATGCAACTATCGACGCTAGACTACTCGTGCACGCGCACGTAGTACTCGAGCTGCGTTTGGAGCCAGAGCGGATGATCGCTGCGCGTCTTTTCGGTCTTGAGGACGCCGTACGTAAAGTACTCGTGGTCGTAAATGTTGCGCAATTTGAGGTTCTTGGTCTCCATGAGGACGCTCAGCGGCACGTACATGACGTCTTCGTCCCGATGCAGCGCCGTTTCGATCCAGAAATGATCGCCGAGCATCGCGTAGAACGGGCTCTCGATATGCAGTTTTTGCTTCTTGACGCCAACGAGGCCGAGGCAGAGCTCCACGAGCCGGTGGACCGGGCGCAAGAGCGGCGTCCGGAGAAGCCAAAACACGGCGAGCCAAAGAAGGACAAGGAAAAGCTGGTTGTGGATGAGGAAGAGCGCCGGCGACTGCAACCGCGCCTTGCAAATCTCGGCGACGACGATCGCGAGCAGCGATAACGGCACGAAGCCGAGGAGGAGCGCGGCGACAATGTACCCGGGCATGTAGATCGCGATGCCCGGCATGCGGTCCATAAAGACGAGGGCGTAGAACACCCACGAGTACGAGAAAAGCCGGATGATTTCGGCAAAACTGGAAAAGTGCCCGAGGCTGTCGATGCGGCAGCTGTACGTCGCGTCGACGCTCACGTCGACGATCGAGTGATCCCACTGGCACGAACTGCTGCTCGTGCCGAGGTGCCACGCGATGAACCCGAGGAACCCGATGAACTGCATCGAGGTGCGGTAGTGGCTCCAAATGACGCTGCTGATGCTGCAGTTGACGACGCTGTAGAGCAGCTGCTTCTTCTGGCTGCTGTCCGGCATGCGCCGAATCCACTTGGCCGTTTGGTACAGATAGATGGAAATGCGCACAAAGAAGTACCCGTACCCGGCGAGCGAGAGGAGCGCGATGAAGTTGAGGATGATGGCTTCGCTGCCGTTGGCTTTGGTCATCACGATCGACGCCTGCGTGCCCTGCGTGAGCATGTCCATGACAAACGACGGGTAGTCCGACTGCGGCGCGCGACCGCCGACAAAGCACGCGAGAATCGCCACCG